TTCCTCTGTAACTTCTTGTTACTGCCTATAAGCATGCATTTGGTTTTGTCCAGATTCAGTGTTAACTTATGTTCATTCAGCCATTTCGCCACAGCCAGGAGGTCTTGGTTGAGCTTTTCAGTCAGCTCCTGAGAGGAAGACCCATAGCAGTAGATCACCGTGTCATCTGCATAAAGTGATGCTTGACAGGCATCTAGAACGCTTGGCAAATCGTTAATGTAGATGACAAATAGCAGAGGACCCAGAATACTTCCCTGAAGGACCCCATGGGTAACTGGCAATTCATCAGACAACTCATTCCCACAACATGTACGCTGTTTCCTGTCAGTAATGTAAGAGCGGAACCACTGAAGCGAGTTCTCACATAAACCAATTTTGGAGAGCTTGCGTAACAAAATCCGATGGTCCACAGTGTCGAAAGCCTTGGTTAAATCCAAAAACACGGCCCCACACAGTTTACCTTGTTCCATGTTCAATAAGACTTCATCAGCAAATGATGTCAAAGCAGATTCAGTAGAGAGCCCCTTCCTGAATCCAAACTGTTTCCTTGTGAGAAGGTTGTTAATAACCAAGTGCTGGTACAGCTGGGAATGCACGGCTTTCTCGAGAATTTTACTGAGTGTCGGTAAAATAGAGATAGGTCGATAGTTCGATGCATTTGACCGGTCGCCTGATTTAAACAAGGCTGTAATTTTTGAGTATTTCCACAATTTAGGAAATTTACCAGTAAGAATCGATCGATTCAACAGCTTAGTGATGGAGGGAGTGATTGTATTAGCAGAGCTCTTGAGTAGTCTAGCACTAATTTTGTCCAAACCAATTGCTTTATTTGTCTTCAAAGAGGTAAGCTGCTGAAGCACAAACGATTCCTCTAGTTCAGTTAACTGGAACTGAGACAACGGTTGTTCTAAAACCAAGTTGCAATTCGACCAGGTAGTCGTTATTTTGTCAGCTAGGCGCTTGCCTATGGATGCAAAGAAGCTATTCAAAGCAACAGCAATGGATTTGGAAGTGGTGTGCTGAATGCCATCGGAAATGATGCACTGAACCTTTTCTGAGGATGAATTACGATTGCAAGCTTCGTTTACAGCTTTCCACATTTTGCCGTGATCTCCTCTGGCTTCCTCGATCATTTCGCAGTAATATTTCGACTTAGCAGATTTTACTAAGCGGTTTACTTTGTTCCTCAGTTTCCTGTAAGTGTTCCAGTGCTTTTCTGAGTTCGATTTACGTGCTTTACGATGATAACAGTCTCGATCTCTCATTGATTCGCTAATTTTGCTATTCATCCAAGGAATAGGTGTTCCCTTCACACGTCGTCGTTTGACAGGTGCATGATCGTCTGCAACTTCTGAAAACAGTTTGTTCCAAGTTAATAAAGCGTCATCGATATTGTTTTCATTGTCAACGACGTGCCAAGGAACATTCCTAAGATCTTCGTTAAATGAATTCGCATCGAAATTCTTGTAAGAGCGATACTCAAACATTCTTGGATGTGCTTTTGTGTGCACACCAGTCTTTAGAATGCAAAACACCAGGTAATGGTCGCTCAATGGAAACGGAACAACACCAGATTTAACAATGCGATGTTCATTATTGACAAAAATCAGGTCAATCAAGGTCCGTGAGGTGTCAGATATTCGAGTAGGCTCTTTTATCAGCTGTGTGAAGTCAAAAGCGCGCGAGAAGTTGAGAAGTAGTTGTTTGTCTTTCTTGGGCAATTTTGAATTAGGCATCATGTTTGCGTTTAGATCTCCTAAAATGACCACATCCGATTTTTCAAGATCAACAGCAGGCATACTATCTCGCAGAGACGAAATAAAAGTGCGGAGATCGGCATCTGGTGCTCTATAAGCGCAACATAATAACGTTGGCTTACATTTATCTCGAATTAACTCAATCCATAAACATTCCTGTCCACCAGTATTGATATCATTCCGCAAACGAAACGCCAAATCTTCTCTTACATACATAGCAACTCCGCCATATCCCTCTTTATTGCCAGTGCGATCTAACCTTATGCACACAAATCCAGGGAGTTTTATTTCAGCATCACTTGTTGAGGAATCCAGCCAAGTCTCGGACAGAGTTAGCACGTCAAAAGTTTTGTTGTTAATTCCCTCAAGACGCAGAGAGTCGGTTTTGTTTGCGAGACTTCGTATATTCAAGTGAGCAATCTTGAGACCTCTAGTGGACTTGATATCAGCAAATGTCTGGTAGCCGGGATTAATCTCAATGTCACCAGCAAGAGCAATAAGAGTCAAAGCAAAACAGGCACGATGAAAAAGCTTACAAAGCATAACACTCTTCAGTCGTCCATTAGACTCTTGCCTCCGGGTCGGTTCGTTTCGATGAAATGAAGCACCAGCAACTTCAGCCCTGCAATTCATCTGGGAAACAAAATACGTCTCTCTATCGTTAAGCAAAGTGTTCTCATATACATCTGAGAACCTGAAGAACTCCAAAGTGATGTAAATACAGAGAAACACACATAAATTTGCGGAGAGCTTGAAGCCGCGTCCGAACGCCGTGATAAAAGTATCACTGTGTTCAAATCAATTTGCATCGTATCTAAATAAATAAAAAGACATCGTAAAATGCACCAAACCAAACCTATTCTACCATTATAACATCCTCCCTGTGTCTTTCTTGTAGAAACTTGGACAAGCACAAGGGGGGGAGGGAGAGGAATGAGTCAATTCGCTCGAGACCAGCAAAATTCTAATCCTACATACATATATACATCGTTCGAGTTTAATAGTAGCGTAGTGGTGCTAGTTTCTCAGAGCAAAGAAACTGTTTAAGTGAGTAAATAAGTAAGTTTGATTCATTGAAAACATTATTTCAATTTCATAATTATATTACAATAAATAAAACTATTGAATAGAGGATATTACATATGGCCGCTTAGGTATACGCTTTTTATCTTCGAGTGCTGAAAGTGTCTCACGATTGAGCGAAGCGAACGAGTGAGAGATACTTTCAGCACGAGAAGATAAAATTCGTATCCCCAAGCGGCCATGTAATGTTCTGTTTATTTTATAGATATAGATGAAATTCCTACAAAAGAACCGGCGCGCGCCTGAGCGGGAAGCTCTCTTGTAATTGGCTAATCCTGTTAGTTACCATGATGACACCAATATCCTCACACGTGAGCGATAAAAATAGTATCTTCACTGCGCGCGATGAAGATATAAGTTTTTAGTAAAAGGAAAATTCCGAGTATTTCATCAGTATCTATATAATAAAATATAATTATTAAATAAGATTAGGGGCCCATAATAGGCTCCTGATAAAATAAATAAAGGATACTTGTTTCTTATCAATAAAGTATCATTATTATTCACAACAAGTATTCCGAAAGTCTTAAGCACAAATATCATTTTTAAAATCTTTAAAATCATAGAGGCTGGAACATAATCGTCCAAATCGTTTCATCTTTGTGCAGCAAAATATTACAGGCGGAATATATAACATAATTACGCTAAACTTTCCTAGTGTTACTCTGTTTTAAATGATATGAAGGAGTTCATATTTTTTTGCCATTGAATACGAACCATATTTATATACAATGAATAGCATCCGATCAAAAGTTGTATACAAGTTCTTCCTCTGGCAGCAGCTTTAAAAAAACAATGTGAAAAAAAAAAGTATTGTTTGATTTTTTTCCTTTTTAACTCGTGAATTGCGCGCATGCGCAAGAGCGAGTTGTAGATACGATGTGGGGAATGGCATTCGCTCGCTCGATTGGTCGTTTCCTGTAAACATTTTTTCGATTTTAGGTTTTTGAGTGCATTTGATAGTTTTTGGCGAGCAAAAAACAAACGAAATGGTGACCTTTGTTGCTAAGAATAGTGGTGGGGTGACAAAGAAGCCAATGATAATCTTAAAAGAGTTTTTTTTTTCGTTTTAGTTTCAACAAGCGGTGCCAGCGACTGGCATGATTTTTTCATGAAATTGTAATTTACAATCCTTGAACTTGAAAACAATTCGAAGATTCATTGAAAATATCTTTTACTGCGAAGTGCTCGGAGTTTACAGATGTTCAAAAGATTTTTCTGCTACGGCGTGAGATTGAGGACAAAATCGATCATTACGCTTCGTATCGTGTGTTTTTCCTATGTGAAGCAACAAAAGATGCCGGCGAGTAACGAAATTACAAGTTAACACGAAAATCAAATAACACCTAAACAAACAATTTCAGCTGCCGATTTTCGGTGAATTTTTAAAGTACAATTTTCTTTTAAGTTTCAAGACAATTTGAAGATTCAAAATACATATTACGCACTAAAATGCGAAAGTTATACACCACAAAATTGATAAATAGGCTTGAAATGAAATTCTATCTTGTTATTGATTCAGTACGTTGCCTAGCACGTGACTAAAATCTACCCAGGCGGAGATCCAAAATGACGGTGGCAGTCTTGGCTTAGTTATATCACTCAAAACTCGTTCCCGTTTGTCTCATTTGATAAAGAGGGAATCGTTAATGTTTTCATTAAGACAGTATTGCCTTGATTTTCTAATATTTACAATGATAGACAGTAAATTTTACTTTTTACCCACATTTACTTCCAACCTTTTCTTTTGAACCAGAAACAGAAATGATATACGTTTAAAACACATGATATCATCCACCCTTGTCAAAGGCAATAGCACGATCATTTCATTTGTAATGCCTTCTTATCCAAACGCCACTTTGTTTCTTTGCTACATTAGCGAACACTGAACTACTGCTCGTACTCTAGATATGACAATCAACCACAAAATTCCCTAAACCAGATGACATTAAACATAATCCAAAAAGTCATGTGTCAATTCACGATTTTGCTCACAGAGCACTTTGATTTGTTATTTGCCACAATGCTACGACACGCTAGAGAATTACAGCTATTTCTTTGTGTGTCCGAGATGATTTATGCTTAACTGTCTGTTTTTTACCTTGATTTTTCGATGAAGTTTTTATTTTCCTTCACCTTTTCTTTTTACTCTCTCTCTACCTAGTAGTTATGAGCCTCTGCTTTTTTTTTTAAATAATCAAATTCTTCGTCTTCTATTGTGAACCCTGAAACAATACTCTCCAGCCGCTGTAACAGGTCATGTTCTCTCTTACGTAATTTATGGAGGGAAGACTCGACGACATCCTCTTGAAATCTTACTTTCTTTTTTTCTCTACGTTTGCTGCAGTCGTCATTGCTTTCACCTTTCAGAGATTTTAACGTGTTGCTTATCCTGTCGAACAATGCTTGTCTTCTTGTGCTACATTGCTGTTTATCTATTGTTTCTCTTGATCTTTTCTTCCTCCAAGCTATGATAGGTTGACTTATTAAATCAAAGTTGAGATTGGAACTGTTCTTGGGGTCAAGGCCAACGTTTCCTGATTCTTTGTCCTTCAATTCTGCTGATGTTTTGGAGGTTCTCGACTGTTTCAATATATTACTGATTGCATCATAAAATTCTTTTCTTTCTTTTGGGCTCGAGCGACGGTTCTCATTGATAAGTTCATACAGCTCACTTTCGCTCACGTTGTTCTTTGCATACAAAAGAGCGTCGTTGATTATGCCGATAAAGAAGTTCATGCACAGAATAGTAAGAGTGAAGAGAATTAAGAAGGTAAATATTTTGGCGTATGTGGTGTTAGCCTCCGCTAATTCATTGATTGGTCTAGCTTTCACTCGACCAAGAGTTAGCTCGAGCTGGAAATAAGCTCCTTTCAGCACCGAAGAGTAGCGCTTAGTTACAGAGCCAAACATCAAGACACCGAAGTGCAAAAATGCTACAAAGAAAATGGATAAAACAATGATAAACGATGACAAAGATCGCGCGGATATCTTCAACGTTGTGGAGAATAGAGCAACATAGTTGTTGAAGCGAATGATGCGCAACAGCTTGGTGGTGACGATGAAAGTAAGAATTCCAAGTACGGCTTTTTCTACCTCTTGGCAAGTGATAGCTTCTCGGAAACTTAGATTTGCGTAAATGTTTTTATGCAGTTTGCCTATGCTTGAAATTGCTCTATTTCGTCGCATTATGTACATCACCACGGAAATCAGAGAAAAAGTAATTTGGAATATCTCGACCCAATTCCACATTGACTTGAAATATCGAGAACGAAGATTGTACAGTTTGAAAGTTTCTCTTCCAAAATACAGAAAAACGAATAGAATGTACAGAAACAAGCAAATCAAATAAAACTGATGCGAGGGTGTGCCCGTAGAATCAAGTGAAAGAACACGAGTTTGCATGGAGGCTGCTCTCAGTCCAGATGCATCAACTTCATAGAAGTATGTAGCAACACCTAAAATATTTACCGACGGATTGAGTGTCGAAAACTCTGCCAGGACAACTCTGGTTTGCCTGTCAAGCCAACCGTTCTTTTGTAAATTTGTTAATAGGCTGAATGCCGTATGGCTATCATAACCGAGGTCTGCTACAAATCCTCCTCCATCATAAAAGGAGAACTGTCCCCACCTAGGTGTAGTGTCGGTTTCTTCGGCATGTTGATATCGCCATGGCTTCGGGCAAAGTTGTAATAACTCGTGATTAATCGTAGCATTTTCAATAGGCCTCCAGCCTGGTTTGTAGTAGGCGGTCTTCTCTTCGTTCTTCGTCGAGTATACTTTGAAACATTCTTGGAACGATGTCTCCATATAGTTTGGGACTTTACATTGCGCTAAAAGTTGGAAAACAAAAGATATCATGATTAGGAAGTTTTTTTTGGTATTCATTTCACTCAGCGATTTGTCACATTTCGAACTTTTTAATAACTATGGACATATCTGTTAAGGAGAATTAAAGTTGTTTTAGAAGCCTTCAAAGTAGCATCTGCCGACGGAGCAAACGAACGCCGTCATTAAAACCCAAATTTAATTCAAGTGCATAAAAAAACGCAGCTACCCTAAACACTCATCTAGATAATTGTTAGAATGGTCAGCAGTCGAGAAAATTGTTACCGATGCACGTTCCATGTGTAATCATTACGAATTTCAATAATCTATTGTTTAACTGTACACTGACTTAAGTTTGGATACTGATTGCCTCTCTATCACACTAAATTAAACATGTATAACTATAAAATGGAAAATGATGTGTGTGGGTAAATAGCGGTTTCACTAAAATGCAAAAAGTATTAACCTAAATGGAAAAAACTTACTCGCTTTCACTCTAAGTTGCCTTACTCGAGCCATTCCGACGAGAAGAGAGTGTTTATTACCAATATAAATTGTCTGCTTATCCTGTTGACCGTTGTACCATCTGCCGGAAAACACTCCTGGGATGAAAACACGCTGTAACCAGCTCCAGTACATTGTATTGTTTGTCACCTGAATTAATACAAGATCATTGGGTTAGATGAACAAATTAATTAATTAATTTATATATATATATATATATATATTGAGCAAATTGAGCACTCTACTAGGATGAGTCATTGCTGCTAGCATTATGCATACTCACTAGTTTTTCTAGTTTGAGCACTCTGGCATGGCTTAGATGATACCACATATGTGAGATCACTTGGGGTGGCTATATGGCCTTACCTCCATCCCAGCATCAGCACTGCACTGATGAGGCCCAGAAGGCCGAAACAGTACTGTCTGCAGTTAGTTATATATATATATATATATATATATATATATTATATATTATATATTATGGGAGGAAAAAAGGACGCAACTACATTTCCCGACAATCCTGTTTCGTGAATCGCTTCACTCTTCAGGGGTTTAATGAAATTGAATGAAATGAAAATGAAACCCCTGAAGACTGAAGCGATTCACGAAACAGGCTTGTCGGGAAATGTAGTTGCGTCCTTCTTTCCTCTCATAATATTTATTCTGCTCTGCTTCAACGTATTGAGCACTGTTTCACGCGAAAATCGACTTGCAGACTTCCTATATATATATATATATATATATATTGTGTGTGGGAAAAAGGGACGCAACTACATTTCCCGACAAGCCTGTTTCATGAATCGCTTCACTCTTCAGGGGTTTAATCCCCCTTTAAACCCCTGAAGAGTGAAGCGATTCACGAAACAGGCTTGTCGGGAAATGTAGTTGCGTCCCTTTTTCCCTCTCATAATATTTATTCTGCTCTGCTTCAACGTATTGAGCACTGTTCCACGCGAAAATCGACTTGCAGACTTCCTATATATATATATATGTATATATATAAAAAGATAAATAAATCTTTATCATAGTCTATCTTCGCGGTATAGTGCTCGATGCGTTCGCAGAGCGTGGAAGATCAGAAAGTTGGACAAATCGATTAGTAAGACGTAACTTTTCTGTGACTGAGTTTCATGCTTACGCGATCATCAGACAGATGAATATATATATATAATTTTTATTATTATTATTATTATTATTTTTTAAATATAACGGCATGGATAGACCAGCAAAGTTTGAGTCACACAAGCGAGTTAGCATCTATGGGGGTGTTTTAGACCATCATTCTCACGTGCTTATTTCCATTGCACCCATCCCCTCAAATATTATGTTTGCATGAGATGGTAGCCACTTTCTGGCACTTCTCCTATGGCAGAATTGAACGCCAATCTCTTCATGGGATTACATTACTATCGCTTGGAATTTCTTTCCAGTCCCAAATTTGGGTCTCACACACTTACATATCTCTTGTACCCTAATTCTAAAGGGATATTCCCACTCAAAATATCCATTTCAAGGGCAGAAAATGCCTTAGTCATTCACTGAACGTCTGTAAGGACAGAAAAAAATTCCAGTTCTTGATGAGGCAGGCAAAGTAAAATTTTCCTTCATATATTTGATTTTCAACCTCCATGAAAACGAAAAGTTGTAAGATAAATTAAACACGCGAATTTCTGCAACGGAGTTATCATGTATAATCAAATAATGTTTACTTACCTTGCCGAAAATTTTTAGTCCATCTCGGATTGATTTTGTCATCAAGTACCGATGGTCATTTCTGTTTCCATAGCACACTGCCATCAACAAGAAAACAAAGACCAAGTATAAAACCAACTCTGTGAAATAACGTGTCAGGTTCTGTTTCCTAGCTTGTCGTCTCCTCATCTCTTCCACCTCTGATAACTGCAGCGCCCAAAAATGTTTCTTATAGTACCCGATTTTAACTTGCTGAGGGCTTTCGCAGGTGTTTACTATTGATCTCTTCGCCTTTATCTTTAAAATGGCCGCCAATGTTAAAGCTGTGAAGAACACCTTTACTGGTTCCTTGATTGTTACGTCCTGCGCGAATGAGATAAGCATCGAAGACAGCCACTGCTCACTGACACTCTTTTCCCAAATTAGACTGTAGAAAATTGAAAACGCAGCTGAAACAGTACAAGAAAAAAACAACAAACACCAAGCGATACCAGAGATCAGGGTACCTTTAAGACAATAATCATTGTTCATCGCAGACTTTTCAGCTCCTTTCTGAAACAGAAACACTATGAAAATGTTTATGGGTGTCACAACAAGCGCACTTTCAATTCCAGTCACCACTTGTCTCCACGATATTTTCAAAGGTCCGACTTGGATAGCCTGTTCATATTTGCCCTCTAAATTATAGAACATCGCGTTAGTTAACATGGCTGTCAAAAGCACTGAGAGGCAACATGAAAGCCGCTGTACTCTTGTAAAGCGGCTTCTTCTTAGCTTGACTACTACTGAAATCCAAATATGCCACTCCGCAAGGCCTCTTCGCCAACGTCTTGCAACTTCATTGCCAAAATCCAGATGATTTGAGGATTTGTCGATTATTCGCTCGATGCGCCCATCTCCGCGCTCTAGAGCAAACCACTGGTTGGTCATGAATTTCCACGACTGCTGGGATTGTACATCCCGAATCAGAATTTCCTCTAAGTACCAAGAGGGATTATCTCCAAAATTATCATGCCCAATCTGCACTCCTTGGATCGAACCAAGTGATTTGTTAACGTAAAGTACAAAAACATCTGAATTACCTCGAGAGAACAACGTATTAATTGCATCAGGCTCTTCTTGACTAAGCTGAAGAACACCACTCTTTCCATCAGAACCGTAAATCTCCAAAGCAACATGAGCAGTCGTGCCTGAGTTTTTCCAAGCTCCTGTAGTGATCTCTATAACATATTCATAGGTGCTGCTTGAAGATGATGGAAGTTGGATGGGTAATTCCCTCTAGAAAAACATGATAATGCATAAATCATTTACACGGCTAGCTGATTTATATTCTTAATTCGTTTTCTGGTCACAGTCCGAAAAAAATAAAATAAAATATAGAAAGAAATGGTCAACCCTGAAAGTGGTTTAATTTAACGGACTATCATTTCAATTTTAAACTTAAATATCTTTTAAGATATGTTTAACGAGTTCGTTGGGAATCAACATATTAGTACATTATCTAGGTAACAGATTATGAGAATATTCAAACTGATCAGGTAGAAGTTGTTATGTTGATCTATTAGCAAATTATCATGACTTATTTACAAAAAATTGTATAGCAACCGGAGGGAGAATTAACAATCAGATTAAGAGAGTGAAAGGGTTATACTGCAGAGCATGCTCCGCTAAAACAACGGTCCTAAACAAAAAATCTGGTTCGACACTTACATTTTTCGCGTCTTCCATATCGAATTTCCTTACGATAACAAGAACAGCCACATAACACAGTAAAACCACCGCAATAGCCACGATTACAGCAATATTTCCAGTTTCTGATAATCGCTGGAACTCGACTAGAACCTTGTCCAAGTCAATATGATTCGGTTCAACTAAGAGACTTCCCCCAAATGATGTCAAGTGGCTACAGCTACAGTTTAAAAATCCATCTGATTCTGCTAAAACCTAAAATTATAAAATACAAGGAAGATTAACATTTTGGCTGTCACCATTAATCACACTGTATCTTTTCTGCTTTAAGGTGCTGCCAAGCCCCGGCAGGTTAACAAATTGATTCGACTTTTGACTGAAAATGTTCTCTGATCAAAGATTAGCCTGAATTCAATAATAAGCTTAATGAGTAAAGATTATTACAGTACAACAACACTTTTGCAAACAATACTCAGGAAAGTTCAAATTATGTGAATTTTGTTGAATGCAATGCCAAATTATAGAAAAAAGATTGTGCTGAAAATCGTCATTTAATTTTTCGCTTACTCGACAGCCAGATGATATCCACTTGTCAAATTTTTCTGACCAGTAAACGCAACTACCTAAGGCCACCTTCAGAGTGTAGTTCTGGTCTGTTGTGGAATCATAAACTGGTATTACAGGGACATTTTCACTCTGGGGTGAGGTGGGTGGTGGATCTTTGACTTCGATGCAGGAGCGCTTCCTTCGCCCTCCACCAAAACAAGACCTTTTCTCCCTTTTGTTAGATAAGTTCACTGTGGCATTATAATTTTTGAAGCCGAGAAAGTATTTCCCAGGACGCTCAGCCAGAACTTGTATCGGTGCATGTGGATTCAAGGAGCAGACCGTTTGCCTTTCACTTTTGTCATGTGCGCTTATCATCCAAACACACTTTCTGTCATGAGAGATGGTGGCATTGAGGTCGTAGTCTTGAGTTGTCGGTCGCTGACCAAAACGCATATAGACAAACAGATGTACGGTTGGATCTTGAGGTTTGATTTCCAGCATCAGCAGGGTGTTTTCATACTTGACTTTTATCTCGTGGAAACGTAGAACATCGTTCCTTGTGAAATACCATGACTTTTCTGAAGCAGAGATTTTCTGAAGTTTTAAAGGCGTAACGATAACAATGTCTTCCGTGAGATTTGATACTTTAATAAGCTTGCTGTCGTTGTTTTTCAACTGCAGGGTTACAACATCCGAGCCAACTCGCTTCTTTGTGCTGTCCCAAGTGTACGGGTTGAAAGAAAATGAGAGCATCTAAAAGAAGAAAATTAAAAATATTGCTTGTTTGTTCTTGTGCACTGTTATAGTTGAACACGTAAACAAGATACTCCATCTTATTATTAATTACAAGTTATCATAAGTTGAGGGCAAAATAAGACTGAAAATTTATTTGAAAAACAACGAATCATAAATAACATTCATGTGGTCACCTATTACTAAGTATTTTCATAGCCAGTTTCACGAGACCGGAATAAAAAAACGACGACAGTGGGTTGAGGGAGATCTGATCCTGTTATCAACTCGGTTTTAAGGTTTAGTTCAGGCGATCTTAAGAAAATCAAGCTTGATTTGATTCTTTTACATTGAAATATGCCTGTACCCTACCTGAACATCTACAAAACTTGTTTTGTTTACTCCAGAGAGTAACAATTGACTCTTAGAAGGTAAGATAAACCGGCCTTTTCCTGCTTTTATTTCCAGTCCTGAAAGTCTTTGGACGCTAAATCTTCCGAGTGTCATAGAAAGTTGTCCTACTGTAAATGGCATCGTTCTTTCATCCTTTACTGTCAAGGCTAACAATGAGTCTGCAACTTTCTCGAGGGTCTCCATTGAAGTCTTCACCAATAGTTTACCCTATACAAATTGCATAAATGGAAGAATGTGGGCATATTGTGGATTTTTGCAAGCTTAAAACAAATAAACAAACCAAGGTCCAAAATCTGAATGAAGAAGGGAGTAACGGTTAAGTTAACAGAAATTTGCAATGGACCATTCACAAATGAATAAAGTCTAATGATTATGCTCGCATGCATAAATACGTTTTCAAAAGTCTATTTAATTCGTAGACTTTTCGACATCACCTAAATGAACATTACAATACTTGTTGTTGAAAACTTGACTTGGAGTCTTCTGATGCAGTCACTGCTGTTACCCTCAACACGGTATTTAGACATGAAGCCAAGTTTTCTGCTGATTGCTTTGTCAGCGGTATGTCTGCTACGTCTTGTCTCTGGGCAAAAGACCATAGCCGTGACGTCATTGAACTAAGAGCAGATAAGGAGAAATTCTGTGGAATGCAAATAAATATAAACGGAAGCTAAAAGAATATCAGCTATCAGATTCCTTTCTAGTGATCTTTGTAGAGATAATTTATGGCGAATTAGTTAAAGTAAATACAAAATTATATATTGGTTCATTTGATAACACAACAGTTGCTTGCTGTTCATGCTTGTTCGTTTCCGTTTTCTTCGTCTTTGCTGTTCTTGTTATTGTGTTGTTTCTTGAGCCTTTCTGGCTAAATAGTGTCATGGTATAAAAACTTGACGCAACAACCAATGCTAGGCCAGCCCCAATCAACTTACCAGAGACTGGTGGGGCACTTTCTCTAGAACATGAAGAGCAGAACCGATAACTGATGACTTTTGCAGCAGGTCGGAGACAGTTTTCACTTCCAAGGGCGAAATGGTTTCAAGGATGTAATTTATAACCTTAAAAAACGATACACATATCAACTTAATGTTATTTAAACCGGTTAAGAATTAGGTAAAGAGACTGTATTTCGCATATGAGGCTTGTTCCAAAGATAATACATCTAAAGGCATATTTAGACTCAACGCATCAGATTTCCCAATAACATTGCTGGTTAAAACTCATCAAAATGATAAATTTGCACGCGCATGATTGATTCGCATGCATCAAAACACCGAAAATGTCCAATGTGAAATAAAGAAATGTCTGGTGATTTCCGCCCATGAAATAAACTTTGAAGCCTCATTTTCAAGACGTTGCAAGTCTTCGTTTGAGATTTAATTCAAGGCTCCTGAGCATTCGTTACTCGTCACAACGGACAACGGAATTGTTTGCTCACACAATCAACCCGCGAGAATAATGGAAAGTGAACATCCAAGGTGGTAGCCACAACTCTCGCGCTGCAAAAATATCAGATATTTAACGCACAAGCATACATTTTTCTCAAAAATATGTTCATATATTTAATGTCTTATATTTGTCTGATCTTCGAAAGTTGATTTATTATTATTATCATTATTATTATTATTATTATTATTATGATGTTTTTTAATACAAATTCTTTATTCCTTCTTTTGGCGTGTTTAGCTCTCGGTAAACTCTTTGCTTTTCGGGTACGATCATAATGAACTAGTTTTGTTTCACTTTTTAAGGAACAGGTTGGGTTTTAAAAGTACCTTGTATCTCTCCTGCAAATCCCCTGAGGTTTTTTGTGAAACTGATAGCATAAAAGAGTTTGCTATTAGCGCCGCTTCTTTCAGGTTTCTGAGCTCGATGAATTTCTGAAATATACTTTCCTTTGCCATTAGAAGGCTTGTGTTCTGAGATGGCTTGATCTGCAAAAGACAAAGGCAGGTATCTATAACTGTAACTAATCTATTACTAATAGGGACCAAAAGAAATTTTAAAATATTCTCACACCTTTTCATGCTAGACATTAAATTAATGGTTAGCGACTTACCTGAACTGTCAAAGAGAATGGGGAAGTAGAAATTCCAAAATTGTCAGTCACTGTAGCGATAACTTTGACAGAAAAATTATCTGTATTGTTCCCAGGCGGTATCCAAGAGGTACTTATGTTGTTGTTAACGCCACGGTATAGCACATTGTACAAACCGTCCTTTAGCCTGTATTGAAACAGGTAAGACAGAGGGGTGTTGTCACTTTCCCAGTTGCTACAGGTCAGATTGAAATCAGTCTTCAGTGAGATGCCGCTTGACGGAGTGATCGAGCAGTTCCCTCCTGTAGGGGGTCTTGCTGTAGAAAAATCGTAAGCATTCATTCCCATTAAACCATCCGTAATTGTTATGAATAGTGCCAGGCGGTACTTATTTCCACCAGTAAGGGAACCTCCTTTGATAACAATGTCACTTGAATTCAGTGGTGTACTTGTGATAAGACGTAAATTATGTTTCCTCTGCCAAGTAAAGGAGGTGTTTCGCTTGAACTTCCGGTAAAGCCTCCACTCATAGGATGATATTTTAGAGCACTGTAATCCGCGACATTGTGATTTGATACTAAGTTTGACCAAGGGACTCACTTTAGGTTGACAGTTAAAGAAACATCTAAAATGAAGCAAAAAGATTGGACGAACACTCAGTGAAGAAGGGGTTTTGAACTTCCGTTGTCTGATGAGATCATGTAATTACAAAGAACAGCTGCAGCAGTGGCTGCAATTTAACATTGATATGAACAATTGCTAATGAAGTAGCTGCAACAACAGTAATAACCAAAACGTCAATGCAAACAATAACATTATGGTTGACAGCGAAAACAAAGTATATAGAAAAACGCAAGCAGAAACAACGAAAAATAACAAAACCAGAAACAAAACAGGTAGAATTGGGCGACAGAAGCGACAATAGCGAAAATAAAGAGCAATAGCAGGGTCAAGAGCAAATATAGGTATTAACAATGGCAGCGAAAACAACTGTAAAAACAAACCAAACAAACCAAATAACAATAGAGACAAAGTAGATCCTAACCTTTGATATATTTCTGGGGGGTCTCCTTCTATCAAATGGATAACTTGATAAACGGTGGAAATACGACTGTCCTTGGTCAATACCAGTTTGACTATGTAGGTCTGATTAACAGACAGAGCTTCGGTGTTTAAGGAAACTAGTTCGCCAGATGCATTTCTATTGTAATGAATGGCTGACTCGTTTACTGCCATGAAGAAATCTTTATCCGCCTTCGCCTCCGCTTGTTTACTGGAGTGATTTCTTGCGACTTTGCCATAATGCCAGGTGAATTTCATTCCTGATCGGTTGCCATGTGCAATTTCCGGGTCATACGACAATGACGCATTTAATGTTATGTTTTTCTGGAGTCCTCTTGTGACTTCTGCACCGCCGGAAATGACCGCCACAAGGTCAAGTTTTCTTTTCCTAGACGTCTCACCTAAATAATGATAAAAAAATACAAATAATAATAATAATGATGATAATAATAATAATGATTTTGAAAAAAAAATTAGCAATAATGCGATTTTCTCTGTTAGTATCGGTTTAACCCTGTTGACAATTGTTTTGTTACATTATTGACACTGAAGAGCTTTGACCAATGGTTTTGACCAAATCCACAATACATAAAAAAAATGTAGCTTTTAGGAGCCAATTTAAGCTGTTTTATCACTACATCCAATTCCTGACACTCAGGAATTATTCTCAGGAGGGAAGAGGGAAGAAAAAGGGGCGAAGGGGTGAGGGAAAGGGGTGAGCGGGGGAGGGAAAGGGTGGAGGGAGAAAGAAAGATGGGAAATGGGACGAGAGAAAGGGGGAACTAACAGGGCCTGCAACCTAGGGACTATATCCTCACGACTTGATAAGCGATCAACACGCATGCTAGTCATGTCTTCCGATGACATGTAAGATGATATTTATTTCGCGCCACTGTTAACTTTGGTCTTGGAAAATGAGCCAAAATTGAAAGAAACGAAGGCAAACGATTTCAGTCTAGGCAGCGAAAGTTAAAACTGTTTACTTCACTGATTTTACTATAACGTGTCAAAATCTTTATGTGCCGCCATACACCTGCACAATTTCATGCAATTTCCAGTACAGAAAATATTTAAATAGATCTGTAATAACTAATACCAGGAGATCCAAATAAATTTAAAAACAATATGACATTTGGTTGAAAAATTAGAATTAAGCGTGGACTGGAAAAACAAGATTAAAAAAAAAAGAAGTGTACTCATACAGGTCACTTTATCAAAAAATATAAGCAAAAAATTCGCTGCATTTGACCCTTTAACTCCCAGAAGTGATTAACATGTATTTTCTCCCTATAATATCCATATATTATCTGACAAACAGGTAACGAGAATACTCAAACTTATCAGATAGAAGTTGTCATCTTGATCTAACATGAAATCTTCACAACTAACTTCCAAAGAAATGTGGGAGTTAAAGGGTTGGCAGCTTTTCACAACACCCACATGTACCCGTACTCATGCATGTACAGTTTCAATGTTGACATTAACTTGTACTCATGCAGATTTCCTTTAAACCTGTTGTTTAAGCCTTATGTCATGACTTCACAATTTTGATGCACAGTTCGAAAGAAGAATGAAAAATAAATTTCCAATTTCCATTTATTCAGTTTAGGTCATTTTGAATAAAATTGAGTCAAACGTTCTTGCAACAACATTATCAAAACTTATGTACAGCTACTGGTAATTTATGAGTGTTAGCCTACCTGGAACGTTGACCTTCACATACAGTAAATCACATATAATTTGTCCCTACAATATCACGTCTGAGTTACACACTGAGGTCACGAGAATAAAGGAAATGATTATCAACTAAGGAGGCTTTTGATTGTTAAACAAGTTCTCCTTGAGTTAGCAACTTGAGAAACGTGTAGAGAACAGTATGGTGAAGTTAGGGTTTGCATTGTATCTGCTGATCATTTCCCAGCCGGCTGCTTTTCAAGTTGTGAGAACACAGTTCCCTAGACCAGTCATCAATTATACTGTCTCTTTCGTCGTGAATAAGACAATGTTAATGACTATTATTCGTTCCTATATCCAGAGGAAGATGAAAGTAGGCTATGGTTTGCACAACTCGTTCAATTCATCTTTTAAATCTATCAAGCTATAGCTCTCATATTCTTGCCTTCTGCACTATGTGGATGTCAATTAATTCAATCTTCATGCGTCAAAATACGAAAAAGACACTCATTCCTTTTACATCCTAAATTAGTGTGTATATTCTCAATACCGTTCTCTGTACATTCCCTAACGTTCCTAATAGGAGAAATTGTTAAGTAATCAAGAGTTCCTTCAGTTTTGGGTCATTCTCTTTCTCCTATTGACCTGAATGTTTAATTCAGGCGTGATAATGTAGGGAGAAATAAGATGGTAGCCACTTTTGAAGGTGAGAGGGATAATCTATGTACCCCCAAACATGAAAGGGAAGGAGGCAGGTCAAAGTAAAAACATGACTTTAAAAAGGAGATTGTCCTTTAATTTCAGTCCTAATTAAGGGAGTATCTTTGGTTTTCCAGATTCCCTTCTTTTTAAACTCACTTATCGTGTGACCAATTGCTTAACATATCAAATTTTTCTTTGTGGAATAGGATCAGCATTTGCAAAACACCATGCACTATTGAAATCTTGAGCCTGAGCACTTATTGCCAAGGAAATTACATGTTAAAATGTGGTAAATATTACAAAATTAAATAATTGCACGTAAGTCATGCAGTTACAATTATGATTGATATAAAGTTAAAAGTTTGAAAGCTGAAAATATACATTACAATCATCAAATCTAATACATTTAAATAAAAACTGGGTCAATAGCTCCAGAGCTTCTCCCATACATTCGTGTTTGCAGGAAATCATTACATTTTGTCTCGTGGGAGAGGAAGAAGGGGGTTGCCACCGTACAAATAGTAGTTGTACCAAGCACAAATACATCGTTTCAGTTCTCTCTGTGCAGGTCACATGAAAGGTACATTCCTGTGTAGGGACTGACATTCCAATTACCTCTGTCAGCAAACTGTTACTATAAGAATTACAAGCTCAAGTTATTTAAAAAAGTTATTTTTGTTTAAGGTGATTTCACTCCTTTTCAGGGCCATCTTATACAGATACTGAACTGAATGAAAATCTATTACATTTTTACAACCCGCTTCCTTCATCAAATCACCTTAATCAGTTCCCCGCCCATGCTACAAGTAACACTTCGTACGATCGGTTATACGATAACACACAAAACAAAATTTTCTGGGCTTGATGGGTTACTTGTACTATTTCAAAAAAACTCGTGCTTCGGGTTTCATCAGGTTCCCAAACGCGAGAAAACATTTCAATCCACGAGGCCGCAGGTCTCGTGGTTTTATTGTTTTCTCGTGTTTGGAAACCTGATGAAACCCGAAACCCGAGTTTTTGAAACGACTTCTCCAAAGAAACGTTACAAAATTATGTAGTGTTGTATTTTTCCCATTTTTCTTTAAAATTCCTTGTATGTGTAATTTTTTTGTATTCAGTCAGCATTCATTGTATTTGTGAGTTTTTGTTTTTGATTATATAATAGTTTCGCGTTGCACCAAATTTGTACTCCAAAGGCGTTATGTACTTGAAGTGATTTACAAATTGTTTTTGTAATGGCCGAAGGAAGGTTCGCTTCCCGAAAACAATCGAGGAAGAAGAACTTTGCGTAGAGAGAGCAGTACCGAAGTCTACCAGATATAAAAATAGGTGGGCAGTAGGCATTTTTGAGGATTGGCAACGAGTGCGAAGCGTCAAGTTTCGAATACTTTGGTGGAATTTTTAAAGAGTATTAATATGCAGATTAAGAACAATTTTATCACTAGTGGTGAAAACGTGATGAGACACAAGTGATGAAAACGTGATGAAACACTAACGATAAAAACGTGGTGAAACACTAGTTATTTTCAACTGGTGTTTCATTGAGTTTCAAAGTCATCCACCAGAACCGAATGGGTCAGAACTAAATTTCATAGGTATGGAGATGAAATATTTCTTAGGTATAGGAATGAGAACTAAATTTCATAGGTATGGGCCACTCTGCGGGCGCTGTTAGCTTAATGCCATAACATTTAGGTGATACAACTGAGTATATAGTAAATAGTAAATGTAATATAGTAAAATAGCATATAGTTAATAGTATATAGTATATAGTATCACATCTTGCCAGCGATACAACGTACGTTTTGACTGATTTGTTAGTAATACTTACTATAAGATGTTGTTATTGGACTTTTAGTTGAAATTTGCACCTGCGATGGCGATGACAATAGCAATGGCGATGACAATAGCGGTGACAATGACATTAGCAATGGCAATGAAAATAGTGATGACGATGACATTAGCGATGGCGATGACCATAGCGATTGCGACGCCAGTGGTGATGGCGATGACATTAGTGATGACGATGACAATAGCGATGTCGATGACAATAGCGATGCTGAAAGTGTAAGAGAACGGAGAGTCTTCAATTAGAACGATATGTTAATTGAGCTCTTTCACTGTTTTACGGCTTTCAATTCCTCTTAGCTCATATTTGCATACTTTTCAAAATATTGGGTAGCGAATGGCAAAAAACTCAGACGGCGTAAAGGTTCGAAATTTCAAGCTTGCCATCATTACTCAATTTTTTAAAACTTAGATGAAACGGACATTTTGTAATAAGGTTTCCTTTCAACACAGGTTTTACTAATTGTGTTATAATACAATACGTCGCCACTTTTACGAAGTACTTATCTTTTCGGTGAGCAGAACATTAATTAAATTCCAACCCAGTATTGACTATTTTTTCAACAAGAGAATGTATCCACTCTCTCTGGCGACATACGAGAACTGAGATAACCCTTACTAACCTCGCTATGGAGTAGTGGTTGCTAGGTTTATCGAAATGTCCGCCATATTCGGATTAGGGGCAGGATTGTAAGTTTATTCTGTTCACTGCACATTTTGCATTGCATTGAAATGTAGCCCTTAAAACTTCACAGTTCAAACAGCTGGATAGTTAAGTAGGATATAATAAGCATTAAATTGATTCCTCCATGCGAAGAACAAATAAGCCTGCAAGTCTATTCTATTTTTTTTTATAAAGCGATAATTGGCATGTATCTTTACCATCATGAGTCAATAGTTCTTCACAAAAGATAACGCGCTTCACATCATCACGCGTTATTATCTAAAATAGCAATCAGATCGATGATTCTTTGCAGTTGGTATTCGCCATCATTTTGTTCAATCGAAAGGATTAACTAACTACATGAAAAAATGCGATGGTTGAAAATTTCATAACTGTTGTAATTTGTACTAGTGATAGTAACAGAAATATCTATAACCTTCCCCTGCTCACAAGGTCAAGAGTTAGACGTTTACTCAAAACAATATGAAAAAAGAAAAATTAAAAAAATTAACAACAACAACAACAAAAAAGAAACAACCTACCCTTGGAAATTTCACAAATATAAGCGGGCCGGTTTTCCCAACTTCCTCTATCACAACTGCCAAACACGCCTCGTTCGCCATTATTTGACCGCTTGTACATGAAAGCCGCGTTGTGTTCACTACTTGGCTCCCCTTTTCCCCATTTGCAAATGGTCAGCGGTCTTTCGCTCACCCAGGTCCAATTCCCAGCCTTTTTTGATAAACCAATACTCCATCTATTTATATAGTGCGTAGTATTTCGCCTTTGAATCTCGTCATTGATGAAATTCCATTCTTCTTCAGTTTCAATGGAAACTAGGTCCCCTCCTTGGCTTTGGCAGATGTCTCTGTTCAAGTCCCAGGACCCTCCTTCCACCGGAAATATGTACCAAGAGTTTTTAAAAGTTATATTTGGGCATTCTACAAAATGATATAAATGAAAACAAAAATTATGATAATTATGATAAACAAAGTGATAAATATATTTTTTACCATATGATTCCGATTTTTTTAACATCTGCAGTTTATGTTTAATTAGTGTCAATTAATATGATACATCTTTCTTCAATACGGCATCCGCCATCTCCAAGCTGCTTTTCTGAATTAGTTAACTTCACACCACTTAAGATTGTCTGTGAGCTCATGCGATTTTGGAGGTAGAGTTTTTAAATATTTATTAGTTCCTCCTTGAGCTGATACCTCCCAACCACCTCCTTCCTCCTATTCTTCCTCCTTCATCTGAACAGACGTAAAAAACGTAAAATTAAATGTGAATGTAAGTTCTCAAAAAATGTGCAACTGAACTCCTATCTCTGCCCACGGGCACGGTTACGCTTGCGCGAGTCGCATACATCCTTAACCTCGTTACCAATTTTGATAAATATAGTTCGTTTTGCCGGATGGGCAGTATTTTTAATTTTAAAACAAATCGAGCCGATTAATAACTTATTAATTCTCTCTTTCTCAGTCTCAAATCACTTTTGCTGCCAGGAAAAAGAAATTGGTTTCCAACTGATTTTTGGTAGCAAATATGTCATTAAATGCGTTCACGCGCCGCCTAAAATTCGTTTGTAATTAACCTAAACCTTCACTAGAAGTTACTCAGAAAGTTAAAACGTGAGGTATTTGTTTTCAATTGAATTAATTAAAGGGACTTTCATTCATTTTATATCTGAGTTCCCTTAAACAATCTGTTCCTTGAAGGCAGAGAGCGAAGTCTTCAGTTCTACACTTTAAATACGCTTTCGGTAAGTCTTTGCAAGTCAGTTCAATATGCACATTTGTACCGTAAAGTACACAATAGAAAACGACGGAATTTAACGAAAAAAAAATGCATTCAAATTTTAAAATTCCCCTTTTGATCAAAGACCAGATTTGCATACGTGATTACATCAAAGAAAAGAGCAAACTCCCTCAACTTCAAACCATAGATTTAAATTTACTTGTGACCACTTTCCATTTATTGACTGAGCTGAGGTATTCTTTATTCATCAATAGTCGATGGAAGTGAGTAATACTTTCATAAGATCATTGACTGCTTTTGGAGAAAAAATTTTCGCGATAGTCATTGAACTTAAGTTTGTTTCCCAAATCAGTGCCGTTGTTGTTTTTCATTCTTTTTAAAAGGTGTATACACTTTTTTATTTACGCGCTCTCTACTCGACAGGTGGGAGATTGTGACAGATACTTGTAAAAAAAATGTTTCAAAGTTTTTTAGGAAGCCTTTTGAATCACCTTTTTCAGTAAAAACACAAACACACACACACAAAAAGGATTTCGGTGAAACCTCTCTCTAATGCTACCATTTTCTCGCTCAAAAATTGTTCAGTTCATGGAGGATCTTGCCGTAATTACAGATAATTTTTTTCGAAACATATGTCCCGGATTTTTTCATGGACATTATGTTCAGCCACTAATACACGCTTTAAAGTTCATTTATCGCTCACTCGTACAAGTTAGGTGGACTGAGCATATTTTGTGAACAATATTTTCACTTTAAGAAACAAGAGCAATTTTCCTGACGCAAGTGCAAGACTGTAATGTTTCAGTACATCACTTTATTGTTAGAATGGGATCTTACCACCGGGTATTTCACAAATATAGGCTTTATCATCAAAGGGATCGATACCACTAAAGAGGCCTCCATTCCTGGATATTTCCGCGCAATCGTCGTTACCATTTGGCTCAGAATCTCGCCATTTCGAAATATTCAGCTGTTCTCCACTCTTCCAAATCCAAACCCCGCCTCTCTTCCATAAACCAATGTGCCATGCACTAGTATTCCAAGTACCACGCTTTTTAATCTCATGACTGATAAATTGCCATTCTTCTTCAGTTTCGATGGAGACTAAGTCACCTCCCTGGTAATAACAGATACGCCAGTTTTTAAACCAATGTCTTCCTCTCTTCGAAAATATGTAAGAGGAGTTTTTGAAACAGGTTGCCTGGCACTCTATGGGGAAAAGATAAAGAATAAATAAATAAATGATAGTGATATAATTCTGATGATGGAGACGAATGAATAAATAATATAATAATATAAATAAAAATATAATAATAGAATAAATAAATAAATGAAAATATGCATACTGACGATAATAATACATAATAACGATAATTATGAGGACGAGACAGCATCGATAAAAACAGTAGGCATAAAAACCCTCTACCTCACCTCAAGGAAAAATTAGAATTAGGCTAGGTTTTAAAGGTGGAATTTGGGGATAATTAGATCAGGGTAATAGCACCGTTAGTCTTTGACTTTTTTGTTTTGTTTTCCAACTTAAGTTTTTATCGCAAGCCGATGTAATTCCGGCAGGAAGTCTACGACTGACCATTTTAATAATTCAGTCAGATCCCTTTTTTCCAGTTCATTTTGAGGTACATAAATATGAAATTAATTGGAATTGCACTGCCTTACCTGTTCCTGGCAATTCCATCATCAAATGAAGGATGACTGTAGAAGAGAAAATAAACAAAGAATATCATTTCATTGTTATGTCGAAAATAACATTTAAAACAACAAAAAAGTTTTTTAGATTTCGAGATGGAATAGTACAAACGCATTTATTTTGCTAAATGCACTTTAAAATCTACCCATGACTTTTCTTACCTTCCCTAAGGAGCTGACGGAGAAATTAAAAAAAAAAGTGCAGCATCTCCGCAACCAACTGAACAAAACTTGTTACATATGGAAGGCATTTTTAAGGATACGGTTGAACTTCACGAATGCCCTTGGGATTCGTTTGGTTGGCGTTACCCGCAAACGTAACTTGCAAAGTATTGTGTTGAGGGCAAAGGGGATGAATTAAATTGCCTAAATCAGCCCAAAATTCACAAGATGTAAAAGAACAACCAACGGAGCGGCTAGATGTGTCCCTATTCAAAACTAGTCCAGATATTTTAAAGGTTAAAAGCACGACTGTTTATTGCCATGCAAATCCTTCTATTTCACCCACCCATTGCACAACGTAAACATAATTATTTGCATATTCGCAGATGCTCACTTTGTGAACTTGAGCTTCCTGTGGTTAGACGTCAAGGTAGATAGACAAAAAACAAAGAAACAAAACAAAACAAAAAACATACTTCTCTTTATCGTTATCTTCTTTTACCCGAAAACACAATCTCGAACAGGATTAAGGCATTTTTAGTTTTTATTTTATTTCATCATAATTATCATTTTATTGTTCTAAAACAAAAAAAAATAATCAAAATAATAATGGTTCCGCTGTTTCCAGAGATTGGTAAGGTTCCGCCGTCTGCTGATCTGCAGTTTAGTGACAGCCCATAATGTTCTTGTTTGCCTTGTTGTTTTCTTTTTACGTCTAAGGCAATTGCGGAAGATTCGTTCAGAAAAAATAGAATCCCCCATCGGGTTTTTAGGTTGGTATGTTGCAGAGTCCGAAAACGGAAGTTAAAGGCAATCCGTATGGTTTGCATACTCCATTATCGCGTAATAACAAAACACGCCTTTAAGTGACCACATGTCAAGTTACGTCAACACTCAAAATTTTTCGCAATGCCGACCGCCAATAGAAACACAGAAGTGTACTGCGGTGTCTCAAGAGGCTATCAGCAAAAACAAATTTTGCGGGTAACAATCTAACAGTTGCCCGTACCAGAACGTAGTTAAATAGTCCAAGAACTCTTTCCTCTCTTTATCTTTCGTTATTCACAGTCAGTGATCTAAAGTGCAAATAGCTGTTTTCTACATTATTTAGAGCAGACTATAGGAGCCAGGGTACCTGGCAAGGGTCACTTGCCGACGACGCGACGGTAATTGCAACATTCAGTATTAAACAGCATGTCATTTTTCCCGTTCTGTGTGGTTAAAGACAGAGTAACATTAAGTAGAATCACAAAACGCTGTTTCAAGTCATTCGAGTGACGCCTCTTAGTTTTATATATATATATATATTTTTTTTTTTTTTCCATTCGCATTTCCCATCCGCCATCCACACCCGCCATCTGCAGTCATCCGGTCCACGTTTTACAGACACCCGGACGTTTTGCCTCACAAAACACCTCGGTAGTTCTTTCTGGTGACATGTTCAAATTGACTACTCACAAGTTGGCAGGTTAAAGAATTCGGTTGGATAAGACGTCTTTGATAATTACTCACGTGCGTTTTGATATTAAGGAAACCTTTTATTTGAAATTATTGTTAATACAGAAATGCTTAGTTTGACATTACCTCAAAACTGCTTAAGTTGGATTTGGGCTTTTACCTACCACGTTATCCACAGTTATTTAATAACGATATGGCTGCTTCTCAAAGCACGCCCTTGTACTACAGGAACAAGAAAATTTAAAAGGTTCTATCGCTATCTGCTGCCGTATTTTCTTCCGAAGGCCTTTAGGGAAACAACAAGCTCGAACCGCGTGCGAGAACTCTGAAGAAGTCTTTTTTTTTTTTTTTTGGACTATGCTTGCGATACTAATAAACTCAACAAAAATTCAAATTCTAAAGAGAAATTTGGTACTCACTCAACAAAGTTATTGAATATAGGACGATTCCCCAAATCTGACAAGCCTTTGTCAACATCTCACTTTTCTGTTTGAGTTACGTTTCTCTCAGCCTTACGCTCAACCAATTCTAATCTTTTTTTCCCCAAATTTCCTTCCGGCCGAATCAGGTTGGTAGCAATTCTTCTTTGGGAAAACTTTTTTCCAGATCAGTCTCATGGTAAAAGAATAAGCTTTCAGAGTGTGTTGTTTTGAGTCAAAATCACCATTGTGTTGCTAATTCATTACGCAGGAAATTGGATGTTATTTACATTTTTGACGTTTTGTCTCCCGTTAAATTCAATTTTAAGAACTCAGACTTTTCACCTGTTTAAAAGAAAGCATAGCAAAAATATCAATTAATAGTGTAAGAAATCGTTTCTCTACGTTACTCATTATTCTTTTGAAATAATGGAGTGGACTAAAATGTTAAATAGTCATAAATAGTTAAGCTCAATAGTGTAAATTTTTGGTATCGATTGTAAATGTCCACTCTTGCGGTCGACTATTCACCATTGCGAGTCTTTGTTTATTTAGCTATTTAAGAAACCATCTCGGTGATTTTAGAGCAGTAGCATAACACGAACTAACTCGGAACAAATATGGTTTTACTTAAAGTAAGTTTCTAATTTCAATTGATTCTCAAGCTCAAATGACTGTTCTGCCTTACTTTACCTTTTTACAATGCTCTTCTCCATAAGTAGTTAGATACTGTTTGTATTTTATTTTTCATTTGGATACATCAGTCTGGAATTTCGAGGTATGCCGAGCAGACCAATTAAGAAATACCACTACGACATACAAAATGGGTGAGTAATCAACACTATCTCAAGGACACTTCGATTTGAAACCCCCATTTGTTATCGCGCGGCTTTCTTGGTTTTGCAAAATAACAGGTCAGTTACCAAAAATAACCACGTCAGCTTCGATAATTGTCCTAAGATTATTAAGGAAATAAGCCAGCTATCGACTCGCGTTATGAAAAATTATGGGGTGTTGATATTGTTCACATCTCCCTTCGAAGCTTTGTCTTTGGGCAAAATGTTCCCTTTTCGGACAGTCTATAAGCGGCGAAAATCATTAGCCTGAGGCGATTTATTCACAAATTAATGAGATATCAAAGATGCGTATCCCGCCAAAGAAGGACGAATCACGCAATATTGTTGTACCTATATCTCTCTCGATGGAGATGTCCTTAAGATGATCGCGAGATAGCTCTGAAATCTCATCTATCCTTTTTCTAACATTACGAAAGGAGAAATGAGGTACAGACACATGGGGGCTCTGGCCCGCCTCTTTCTAATTTATGTGAAAAACAAAGCGCTTTATTCGAAAGCCTTCATATATAGTACTTCTGCATAGTGCTGTAAATTGGATCGATCTGCACCACCTATCACACTAAAATGATACATTATTTTTGCAGTGTTTAAATACCCACATCTAAATATGAAGGGTGGGGCAAAGGGGGGGGGGGAGTTGAAATAGATCTAAAAACCTCTTCCCTTTCTAATGGCTTCAATTTTCCCTTAGCAACTGCTCTCTGGTTTTTTTCTCCCGGAAAACAAGTCTGATGAAAAACCTTTTTGTTTTTTCACGTTTACAGCGTTCCTTCACTTAAGATAAACTCAGGGCGTTTCTTGCCCAGGTGCATCTTTCCCGAACATCGAAGTTAGTTCCATTTCTTCCTAGTAACTCGCAATTTTTAATCCAATGAATCCGCTACGTTTAATCAGATGCAACTGATCCTGAAGAAATCTAAAATATTATTTCGTTTTTGTCACAAATTCAATTATTTGTTTTTTCACTCACTTATTTATCATAAAATTTAAAAGTCAGCTTTAACCGCTACTATTACCAAAGCAAATAGCATTTGCTATTTTATACGCATTTTAACTGCTTAAGAGCCATTTTCCGAGAAAATCGAAAATCGCATGACACTCGTGAAAAAAACGAGTTCTTTTTCCTTTCGCCAAAACATCCCTTTCAGTAACCTTATTGAAGAAAAAATAATTTTGGGTTCAAGCGATTCATTGTACGGGAGAAATTATAAAAAGTTTGAAAAATCGATTTTTTGCTGGTTTTTCGTACTCAAAACAACAGAATCCGACCGCAACTTCGAGAAAACGGTGAACGCATAAGAAACAATCCCTAACATCGAAACTTCAGCCGAGTATTATTTCGTACTTACTCTTTAATTTCCTGAAAGAAATTTGAAGAAAGAAGTTTTTAACATTTACAATCGACAAGTTTAAAAAGGTCAAATTTGTATTTCTGGAAATGTTAATAAATGAAGGCGAACTTTAACTGTTGTAAAAGGCCATTGGTATATGCCGCTTCCTAGTAAAACCCATATAGAATAAAACCTTGGCTATTGAACTAAATTACTGGAAATTTTTAGCTCTGGAAATCCAATACAATCCTCACATTAAAGTAA